AGTTGTTTGGGAAGTGCTTGTTGGAGTAACTGGACATGATACAAAGTTTATTTTTCCTTCATGAGTGTAAATCACCCTATGGTTCAGCTAATGGCAGGTGCAAGTTCAGCCAAGCCAATTGCTATAGTAATAGCCCAGTGCCCTGACTATCTCTGTGGTTAATGTATGTCAGCTCAGTTAGTCAGTGTGTGAGTCATCAGTCTGTTGGTGTTACTTATTCAGTGTTATTCTTGAATTGCTGGAGTTTATTTGGATCAATGGATATACTTTGTACTTGTATGTATCTGGGTATATTGGTATCTGCAAAAGCCTACAAACTGTATGTATCTATGTCCAGAACTATTTTACTTAGCCTTATCTTCTGCAGCAATAAACTCTTCGGATATTTAGCTGCTTCTGTGTGGCTGGTGGCTGGTATTGGAAGCAACTTCCACTGTGTGGGTACCTAACCTGGGATCCCCAATACAGTTGTACCTCAGAAGTCGAACGAAATCCATTCTGGAAGTCCGTTCGACTTCCAAAACGTTCGAAAACCAAAGTGCGGCTTCCGATGGGCTGCAGGAAGCTCCTGCAGCCCATCGGAAGTCGCAGAAGCCCCGTCAGACATTCGGCTTCCAAAAATAGTTTGCAAACTGGAACAGTCACTTCTGGGTTTGCGACGTTTGGGAGCCAAAACGTTTGGGAACTAAGCTGTTCAACTTCCAAGGTATGACTGTAGTGCTGCACAAGCGACCTTGAAAACTTTCAGATGATTGGCAGTCAAAGTTGGCCCAAAGGGTGCAAGATCGATATGTGGCCCACTGAGCCAAAAGGGTTCCCCACCCCCTGGTTTAAAGAACAAGAAATAGAAAAATCAAGGTGGCTGTGCCCAAGCCCTCAAGCACACCTAACGTGGCTGCTTGGATCTTGGCCTTTTTTTTTAACATGGTGTGGAGTAGAAGTCGACTGTAGTTGTTACAAGGTTTGATCAGTTATGTGACTCAGTGCACAGGAAAGAAATCCCTGTTTGACAAGTTAAGTATCAGCAACATTCTTCTTCATATTAGGGTGCCCAGGAAGGAAAAGGAAGCATTGCGGTAGCCCCCTTCTCTCTGAACAGTTGGTGAGAGGGGATGGTGACTAGGAAAAGTGACATCCTCTGTAGTGGATGATGTGCCAATAATGATGTACAATGACGGTGTGCAAAAAAGTTTTTAAAGAAAAATCACAAATGATGTTGGTGCTACTGTCAGGGTGTTCATTAGTGCATATATGTGGGGTGTCAGCCTCAGCAAAAAGGATATAAGTTCACTTTTTTTAATAGGAAAGACATCTAAGCACAAATGTCAGTTGATTTGAGGCACCTGGGAAAAGACAATTAAACTAAATTGGGGACACTCTTGAGAGTTGTATAAAACTGACATTCTGTTCTGTAAAAATCATCCAAACGAAACCTGACACAAGATCAGCAACTTCAGTGGGAGGGGGGGAAATTACAGGTCTGTGTAAAAGAGTGAGAAAAGTAGAAGAATGAGTGTTTGTTATCTCCTGGGAGTAACATGTTACTCTAAGGAGTGTATAGGTCAGCTTCTAAGTTATACTATATTCTGTGGCACAAGTCATTTCTTCACGTTTCATGTATTTTAGATCTCATTTTGAAAGGGAAAGTAAAAAAGAGTGAAGGTTACTTTGAAGACCTTTACATAATATCCTGCAAAAAATAAGTTTCTTAGTTATAGAGATAATTTAGAATACATGCATAAAGATGTTTAACCTTTCGGGCATGCATAATGCATAGTCCTAACTTTTTGTGAACAAAGACTTCACAAGCATCTAAAATTGGGGTTTTCTACCCTTGCTGGCCTCTTGCAGGTATCATGCTAGCCACTGATTTTACTTGCTCTTCTTTCCCTCCAGGCTGAAGCCAATCGTCATCAAATTTTCCAATTCTACCATTCACATTTTGAATGAGAAATTCTGCATTCAGCTTTTAAATTTGCATTTTAAAAGTGCCGTTTGAACTTCAGAATTAAACTTTTGACTGATTTGTCTTCCTTGTTTGGCAGGCTTCCTATGTGAAATGTCAGAAGCTGCCTACTGACAAACACTAATCAGCACTGAATGTTATTGTTAAATGCTGTTGGATTAAAAAAAAAAATGCTTCTGTGGTGTGAATTTTGGGTGTGACCTGGCACCAATAGGCAATAGTGCAGCTGAACAGTGCCCTGCATGTCTGAAGTGCACCTGTAAATATGCTACCAAATTTCCTGCAATGTGGAAGTGATCCATAGTAGAAGGAAATAATTTTGTGAAGGAAGAATGTTTGAAATCACTGTTGAGGGTCAGCTATCAGTATTGTCAGGTTTGAGACACAATTGCATGCCAGTGGTACAATGCAAGGCTGGTTCTGTCGTGCTTAAGGGTGACGCAAACTGCTTCAGGTGGTACCATAAGAGGTACAAGGGGCAGATGAAGTCAAGAAGGGGTTTCTGAATAGTGCGGAAAGACTTTTAAGAATGTTGGCCTAGGCAGGTGAGAGGTGCCTTTTCTACTCCATTTCAGGCAGCAAAATGACTTGGGTCACACACCTCAACTCTGACATTGTTCTTTTATCATTTCTATGATGTATCTTAGGCACACTGAAATTATCAAAAACTGCATCAGAGACCCAGCCAAAAATATGAAAGACTTTAAAAACCTTACATTTAATAAAACAATTGCAATACCAAAACAAATCTGTAATACACACTTACTCATAACCTCAGTGGGGCTTACTTCTAAACAGACATGTATATGATTCCAGTATATAAAGTGTGTGTGTGTCCAAAGCAGCTGCCACTGTGATTTTAAGGACAGAGACCTTAAAAAGCCATTGCAAAATATTGTCTTCTTAGCTCACTTAATGTCATTTCAAATCAAGCAGCAAGGGGACCAGGTGTACCACTTTGTAAGCTGTTCTGGATCTTGGGCATCACAACTGAGAAAGCTCTAAGCAGGTTCATAAAGGTGAAGGCAGTTCTTCAGATTTTATGGTGCCAGATACGTAGTGCAAAACTTTAAATGTCAAAAACATCAGCTGAAATTGAACTGAGAGCAGCAACTTGATAGCAGCAAAGCTAGTAGGTGAGTGGTGCAGTCTCGTCTTAGCAAGCAGCACAAGTCAGAACCACAGCAGCTGCATTTGTTCAGAGTAGAAGGTACCAGACAGCCCCATGTTAAGTACATTACAGTTATCTGAAAGTAAACCTAGGTCTTTATATACTGAGTCAGGCTATTTGAATCATTAAAAACCTGACCTTTGGATGAGGAAATAAGTTGGGTGTGTTTTTCTACGACTGACCATTGTGCCAGCGAGTCTTCTCAATATGTGGCACATTGATGCCAACAAAGACAAATATGTGCTCACCAACATTTACCATTGGGGCATAAATCTCATGGATATTAAATTAGCTTTTCAGCTTACTCTCAACACTGAATTTTGAAGCCATTTAAATTCATTTCCTTTGCCAGGAAATGTTTCAGCATGATAGTTATGTACATTTTAAACAGCTGAGAATTGTGGCTATGTCCCCCCCTCTGTGTCTTCTATGGCATTCCCCTCCCCCTTTTTTGGGATATTGATTGGAAAGTGGGTAACAAAGAGAAGCTGGGCATGTTATCATGTATTCTCTCAAAGCTCTCATGTCAGTCATTGAAATAACAGTGTGAAATGGATGCAGGGCTCACACCAGCTGCTTGACATCTAGGCAGGTGCTGGAGCCTTAGGAAATGTCACACTATCAGATGCCACCTCTGAGCATGTGACTAGCAGAAAAGCAGCCAGCCACGGCTATCACCCCCGGCCATAGCTAACACCTCAGGCCACTTCATCTCTTCTGCTTGAAACAATTGCTGAGCTGTCAGTTTAATAAATGAGTAGCCACTTTGTTGTGATCAGCATTGTCAGGGTTTATTTCAAAAAGTGATTCTGATTCCTTCTCACAGCCTCGCCTAGCCAAAGTCAATTGGTACGATTTCAAGGTGAATTTATTCATACTTTATAAAGGTTCTGCTCACAAATATATCGAGACAGTTGAATAAATTAAAATAAATAGACTTGGAGTTACATATTCCTTCCAGTAATTGAAATAGTTTCCCCCCAATATATTTGTAGCAATAATGCTACTTTTTATGAAAACTGGACTATCTACTGAGAGGAAAGCACAGAATTACCATTTTGATAACATATTTCGAAAATGCAATTGGGAATAATTTGATGAAGAGGGCAGTTGAATGATGTCCTTGCCTTTCACTTTGTCCATGCTAAAGACAGTGAAAAGGAGCTTTACGACAAACTAATAATGTAGAATTAGCATCATTAGTGGCTTATATCCAATTGGTACCTCTCTGCTAATGGAAAGTTTCCGTCAGTGGAGGTCTCTATTAGTGTAATCCAGCTTTTCTCAACCTGTGGGTCCCCAGATGTTGTTGGACTACAACTTCCATCACCACTAGCTAGCAGGGCCAGAGCTCAGGGATGATGGGAGTTGTAGTCCAACAACATCTGGGGACCCACAGGTTGAGAACTGCTGGAATCGGAAGGGAGGGGCTTTTTTCTTACAGTTTCCTTTTCCCATACAGCCTCTGACACTATTCTGAAGGGTCTTCTGAAACTCTAGAGCAGGCATAGGCAAACTCAGCCCTCCAGATGTTCTGGGACTACAATTCCCATCATCCCTAGCTAACAAGACCAGTGGCCAGGCTCCCTCGGCCAATAAAGCAAGATGAGCGCCGCAACCCCAGAGTCGGCCACGGCTGGACCTAATGGTCAGGGGCCCCTTTACCCTCTACCTTTACTAGGTGTATTATAATGCAATTATATGTCCACTCAGCTGGGAGTAAACTCTACTGAACATTGTGGGATTTACTACCAAGTAAGCCTGCGGAGGATTGCAGTATCTGAGAACTTGGCAGATCATAGAATTGTAGAGTTGGAATGGACCATAAGGGTCATCTAGTCCAAACCCCTGCAATGCAGGAATCTTTCCCCCTGTGTGGGACTCAAACCCATCACCATGAGATTAAAGAGACTCATGCTCTACCGACTGAGCTGTCATAGCAATCTGAGCATTCATCCTGATTTGCTTGCGCAAAAATACGTGGAATTTAGATTATATCTGGTCTTTATTGAATATTTGTTCTGATTTGTTTGCAGGGTAGTTATATGGCAATAAGCATTTGCCCTGCATTCATCTTGTTAATCATTTCTTTATCCCACACTTTTCAATGCACTTCACCACTTTCCAAACCACAAAAAAGGAACCCAATTCTTTTTTTTTTTAGTGGGTTTGTTGTGACAGGGTGTTTTTATCTCCTTTAATTGTGCAAACCTAAATTTACAGTATGTCCTTGAATCCATCCTGCATAATACTGAAAGTTCTGGAGGCATTCTGATACAAAACGCAGAAATATGAATGGCTCTTACACTGATATCTTTGGACATAAAGTTTAATTCCAAAGTCATTTCTCTTTCTTTCTTTCTTTCTTTCTTTCTTTCTTTCTTTCTTTCTTTCTTTTGATGTAGTGTGTGTACCTCCTTGACAGTAGAATTTTCAAAAGGAGGGTACAGTTTTAGATTTAACTGAAAACTGAAAACTGTGCTGCCGAGATAAGAGAAAAATACATGTTTGACTCTGGGAGATTCATCTTCCTCCCCAATCACGATTAGTAGGTGGCAGACAATATAGCATCAAACTGTATGCAAAGATAACCAAAGTTTGAAATATGAATCTTTTGCAGAGTGAAAGATGGAAGATGACAGTTGTAATCTCTTCAGATTCATAATTTACTGAGTTTTAGGGAGGCCCAAAGTGATTGATAGTCTCTAGGCAGAGTTTAGTGATTTGAAAAGCATTTTATTGCATTACGCAAATGTGAAATTTAAAAGTTTTAGCCCTCCCTTATCTGGAACTTTCTGCTATAGTTCTGGAGAATGTGTCGACTTGTGAAAAATTAAAGATCAGGCAAATAAAGATGCTAAACTAAATCCTGCTGTAGTGTATCACTTTGTAATTGTTGCTTGTATAGTAGGTTATACTAGGTAAATTACATAACCCTCAGGAGAACCATGAATTAGTCTTACTCTCTGTAAAATTGGATAAGGAAAGGTGGGGTTGAACACATTTATTAACACATGATCCCCTGTGATAATGGCACAATTAACTTGTGGCCTTTGTAATATTTGCATATCATAAAACACAAGCTGTAGTGGAACTTCATGTGGTGAAGCATTGCTGTTAATTATTTCTATGCTTACATCAAACCAAGGACAAAGGTCTACCGGGTTGTCTCTGACAATTGTGCAACTGTGAAGACAACAATTTGATTTTGTTAGGATTGTCTTAGACTTTTTTGCCCTTGGCTAGTTTATTTTGCCCCACTATGTATTTAATAATTAAATATTAGATCACACACTGTTTTTATATTAGAGAGTCCAATCCGCCCCCCTTTTTACTTTCTGCCTGCTATTGCATCTGTCCTGACATTTAAGAACATAATACAGTGGTACCTCGGGTTAAGTACTTAATTTGTTCCGGAGGTCCGTACTTAACCTGAAACTGTTCTTAACCTGAAGCACCAGTTTAGCTAATGGGGCCTCCTGCTGCCGCCGCCGCGCCGCCGGAGCCCGATTTCTGTTCTTATCCTGAAGCAAAGTTCTTAACCTGAAGCACTATTTTTGGGTTAGCGGAGTCTGTAACCTGAAGCGTATGTAACCTGAATCATATGTAACCCAAGGTACCACTGTATATGGAGGGAAAACACATTTTCTGTAACTCTGGAAAATGTGAATCCTCAGATTCTCTGTCTAAAGCATATTACCCACAGGGGCATAGCTCTGTTCTCCCACACCCAGGGCAACGGGACACCTGGCACCCCCACAAAAAATCCTGAGGAAGTGTAGTTTGTTAAGGGTGTTGGAAAATGTAGGTCTGTTGGGGGTAAACGACAGCACCCATGATTATTTGCAGAGAATATGTTTCAAATGTGCAGGAGTAAAAGGATGAAATTTGGGGTGGCATACAGTTCTTTCCAGTTGTTTCCATGGAGCAATCATTGGGGAGCAGAAGCACACATGTGCAGAAGGGGGAGGGGAGAAATAACAGCATTTTCCAGTGACGTCCGTCATTGTGCCATACCACGCCCACTGGTGGGAATGAAATTTAGCAGGGCATGCTGGTATATCGGTTGAAAAGGCCACAGTTCCATAACACAACAGGTACAGCAGCGTGCATGAAACGTTAAAGATGGCAGACAAGCGCTAGCAACATAATCAGGAAAACTAACGCCAGATTCCCCATGTCTGAATGCACCCATAATCAAATCGTGTAATTAAAATAAATAATAAATAGACGTAATTTGGCCTCTAGGTGCAGGTTTTTACATGGATTCCCCCCATACCCTGCACAGGGATGAATTCAGCTTATGTTGAGGTGAGGAAAAAGATGGAGAAAATATAGCATATGCACATGGGTATATGGTAATTGGGGGTTGGGTAATTACATGTGCTTGGAAGCCGCAGCATGAAATCTCTAACTCTATCCAAGTTTCTAGCCCATTTTTCTATTAGAATTCTACTGCCTCTTGAGAGTTAATGCAAACTTTATTTCTGACGCTGTGTTCCATTTTATTTTAATCTGCTATCTGTAAAAGAATTAGAGAAACCTTATCAAACCAGACGTGAGGAGAAAGAAATGGAAGGTGGACTATTAGTAACGGAAAAAAAGAGAAATCCAACCATTTTTATATAATAGTCTGAACAATCAGATAAATTAATTTTTTAAAACTATTCGAAGGAAAAATTAAATAGATGGATCCCCTCATCCATGACCATTAGGCGTTTCATGTCCACAGAGGGGTGTCAGGCCTGACACATTATTAAAAGAATCAGATTAAAATTCAAATAAATTTAGGTAATAAAAGGGAAGGGAAAAATAAATTCCGTAATATAATTGCTTGTTACAGTTTTCGGCCTTTTGCCTACCAGCTGCCATGCTCTGTTAAACTGTACTTTATGAAAGGCCATCACATAATAACTTTTTTGGGATTGCAACAAGGTTTTTCTGTGTATTGGAACTCAAGTACAAGCTTTTGTAATTAACTGTTGGAATACATATCCAAGGTAAATCCATTTTATAGGTTATACAGTAGTAAACTCTTGTGCTTTTGAGTTCCAACTTTGATTTATCATGTATATATGGAAAAATATATATGAAATGAGCAAAGGAAAGAGACAATGAATGTATAATGGGGCAGACTTTGTCTATATTATGTTCCGGTGATTAAAGCTATATATGAAGTTTCTTTAAGCCCCAAGGCTGTACACAGTATGGACCAGTCTGGGCATTAGAACCTTCAGTGTGGACAGGGTTGACAAGAACAAACTCACAGAGGACAAGGCTATCAAAGGCTACTAGATAAAATGACTATGTTCTACCTCCGTTATCAAACACATCATGCCTCTGAATACTAGTTGATGGAAATCATGGGTGGGCAGAGTGCAGTTGTCCTCATGTATCATTCCAAGCTACCTTCAGGCATCCAGATGGCCACCGTGAGAGTGGGATGCTGGACTAGTTGGGTCATTGGCCTGATCCAGCAGGCTTGTCTTATGGTCTGTGGTACAGGTAGTCAGCTTGACTCTGCCATTTGCCTCACCCAATTGCAGCTGCATGAGCGATACAATAAATCTATTGTAGTCGACCGACCAGTAACACAAAATTCAAAATCACAATTGCCAGGAATAACAAATTAAGAGCTGTCTATCATAAAAGGTTTGAGATAGATAATAGCATTTTCCCAATTACTCCATAATAAAGGTATTAGGCAACTCACTCCAGGGGCAACTTCTATCTTGAAAAACAACTCCAGTAAATCTGCCATCTAAAAGCTTTGTGGGTAAAACATTAAACCAGGCTGCTGAAATAGCTATCCTATATTTAGGTATTATTTACAATTTTAAATATGGCACACATGTTCTAAGACAGACCAAGACAAACCCTGTGACCACTGGGTGACAAAAGTAACTCTTGCAAAAATCTGATCTGTTTAACAATGAATTTATCTTGCTTTAAATCCAAGGGTAGCAAATAAGAGGAAGAACAGACTATTAAAAAACAAAACAAATTAGCTTTTTTTTGTCCAAAATCATACATAAGAGTTTAACAACACCTGATGTTCAAACTGGAGATAACAGAAACAAATTTGGAGCCAGTAATGAATAGATCTAGGCCAATCTACTTAATAAACTAAGGCCAGCATTCAAACTGAGGGCAGAACCAGCAACACATTTTGAGAGCACCCAATATGAATCTAAGAAAGAAGAAACTGAATTACTTCCATGTACAGTTAAAGTCCTGAAAACCATATTAAAGCTCCAAACAAAATCTGAATTTTTTGCCTTTTACATTTTGATGATCAGGAAGGGAGATGTGCTGCTTTTAAGCAGCTGCTGCTGCCACTTACAATTCTCCTTAGCTTTAATGTTGAAGGTACTGGTACCTCAAAGTTATGGGGTTTCTCATCAATAGGGATATAAGACTTCCCAATCTTACATAGACTTAAACTGGCAGGGCATGTAAGACATAACTAAACTGTGCACCAAGTGAGTTAACTTTATGCTTCTCATCGTATTTTTAAAATTATTATTATTCGAAAGGAATCCTCACTGAGCATTGAAAGAAAGTGAGAGAGCAGCTACATTGCCAGGAAAATAGTTGGCTTTATTTTCTAAGGGAAACATTGTTTACAATCCTAATTTAGGTCAAGGGATTTATCACCTCCAAAAGTGAGTGGAAGAGAGCAGACTAGTGAAAATCAACCCATATGTGAAGAAATATGTTTGAATACCTCAAGTACATCAACTACAAATAGCATCATCGATTAAAGGTAAAGGTAAAGGAACCCCTGACCGTTAGGTCCAGTCACAAATGATTCTGGGGTTGCGTGCTCATCTTGCTCTATAGGCTGAGGAGCCAGCGTTTGTCCGCAGACAGCTTCCAGGTCATGTGGCCAGCATGACTAAGCCACTTCTGGCGAACCAGAGCAGCGCACGGAAAC